GACATTTTCATGTGAATGAATATGATGTTTTCAACTACCTCTGGAGTTGTAACCACCATCATTCAACTAAAAAACACAAATTCTGCAAAGATTTGCCATTTAAATCAAACATTTACATCTCATTTCTTCAATAAACTCAACAACATCTGGTCCCCAATTAACCATCACTGTATTTTTATATTTTAGACTGATTGAGTTGACGCTTTCAAACGAATAAATATGGAGCTAAAGACCTTCAAATTAAATAAAGTTGGATCTAAACGAAATGTGTGCACCACACCCTTTCTACCAAAATTAGGTGGTTTTCAACAATGATGACGTCGAAGTTGCTCCGACAAAGTCTTGAAAGTAGTTAACTCAGACATCAATAGTTGTAATATTTATTTTACAAAACTACAAATGTTTTTCATGTGTTCACACTCCAAGCCTGATTAGTGGGTTCTTATCAAATGTTGACCACATTTCTCTCAAAATCAAAAGGCTAGAAATAAGCTCCTTGGTCTCCAGGTTTAGGAAACCACCAAAACCTTAAAAAATAAAGTTTGTTACAAAATCACGATTGGAAAATCAGTATAAATACAGAGCTCATAGCTGTGAAATGTATTTTAGAACCCTTTTATTTTGATCAAAGGGCTAAGCTTTGATCAATCCATGTTTGAACCCATCAAGAACCTTAGCAAAACTCTATAAATACCTCCTGGAAAGTAAAAAGAAAAATAAAGGACAAACATGAAGAAACACATTATGAAAAGACCTTAATGTGAAGGTCTAAGAGACTACCATAGAGGATCTAACAAACTTTGAAAGGAGAAAATAATGAAAGGGAAAAAAGAAAAGAAAAAAGAAGAGATTGAAAATAACATTTCATAGCTAGTTCGCTTGGAGAAGGTATAACCATGTAAAATTTCAAGGGTGGAGTCCATGTAACATGCCTATTCATGCTTTCTTAATGTTTAAACCCCTTTTGATGTTGTTTGAGCTTATCTTGGAATTTTAGATTAATTTTAGTGCTAGAATAATCTAACATTTTTTGGCAAAGTTCCTTTGTTCTTGTTCTTGTTTTAAACATGTTTGAGTTGCTCAAGCTTTCCTTATGAAAGTTTGTTCTAGTTTTGGTCAATAATATGTTAGTAAGGTGTGCACTAAAAGAATAATTCATGGTTTTGATGCTCGTTTGATTATGTATTTTTAGCCTAATAACATATTAATGAACATTGTTTAGCTAAATTTTGAATTGTGTTGCTAATTTTTTTTAAAGTTTAAAAATTGATCAACATATTTTTAAAATTTTTAACCCGTAAACAAAAGCAACTCATTATTTAGCTTTGATAGTTTTGAACTTTGAAACTTCATACATGTTATTGATGATTTGATGTTATTTGTTAGTTCTTTGTATTCAATTATGCTAGGTATTGGTAATGTGGTATGTGAGGACAAAAAACAATGTATTTAAAGGTTTAAAAGGCCAAATATGGGTATTGGGATTAATTTTTCAATTTTTGGAGATTTGTTATATTTTGAATTCATGTTTTTTGCATGAATTTTGCTTTAGCCTCTTGGTTATTTGTTATTTTTAGTTCATTCGTGGAACAAACATGTTAGTTTGTTATATTTAGCAAATAATCTATGGTTAAAATGTATCAATAACTCGTATTTATGCTTTTAGATTCTAGTTTTCTTCCGACTATCCAAATACATTTCGATTAAACCATGGCTTTTGATTGTTGAACGAAGATAATGGATGCTTGATTCTTGATCCACACATAATTATGAACAAAACCTTGCTTTTCATTACATAAAGATTTGTCTGATTTGTGATTTGTGTATCCTGAGTTTCAATTTGAATATTCACCATGTTATTCAAATTCATAGTGCCTGATTGTTTTTGTTAGAAAATTTTATGTTTTTGTATTTTTTTTTTATAGTTTTGATATGTTTTTGGTTTAAAAAACTTATGTTTTAATCATTTTTATAAGATTGTATGGGGAAATAAAATGATAAATTATGTTAAAAAATTGTAAAAATTAATAAATAAAAACATTAATAACCTTATTCTTATAGAATATTAATAAGGCAAATTATTTACTCTTGGATTCTATTTTTTAAAAAATCAGGTTCATGTATTATTATTAATTAATAACGACTAATACTAATAACAAAAATATCTTACCTTATTTGAAAATTATGTTATCATTAGGTATTCTTAAAATATTACTCTAATCATTATATTTGATGATAAATTAATTTCAGAATATAAAAAATAAAATAAAAAACAAACACATAAAGAAAAAAAATACAAGAGCCTTTAGATTGATAAATCATATATTAGATAGTATTTGGTAAGTATTCCGGACTAGAAAATATAAAAACAATTGAAACAGAAAATAAGATAAAGCAAAAGATGAAACAAAATTGTATTTAATTATAACATATAAAATAAAATGAATATCTTTATATTCTATGTAGTTGATGGCATACAAAATAAAATAAAATAAAATTTGTTTTATCAAAACAACTTCAACTATTGCTTCTGCATCCTCTACATTATTATATTATTATTGTTATTATTATTACTGCTGCTACAAATCTCAAACTCATCACTTTTTTTTTTTCTGTTTTGTTTTGATTTTGTGCATAGTAAAATTTATATTCTGCTTCTGTTCTTCAATCTCTAGATAGATTTTAATCTCTCTTCACTCCAAAATTTCATCACATAAAATATATATAAATAACTAATTTTTTAAATTTTTTGCGATCCAACAATGCTAATTTTTCTTTATCAAAATTAAGTTTTTTTTTTCCTTTCCCAAACCCTTCAATTCAATCCTTAAATTAACCAAAAAAACTATACTTTATTATTCAATTCTCCATCTGAGTTTTCTTAATTGTGCCCGTTGGATTTGTTGACTTTTTGAGTTTGAATAGTTGATCAAAAGATGATGAGATTTGCGGGAATTTGATTTGGTTACAATAATATATATTGTCTCTCTATCCCAGACGTTGATATTGTTGAATCTTTTTGTTACTGCTTGGATTAAAAAATAATGGGATAATTTTGAGATTAGATTTGTTTATAAAAAATAATATATATTATCTTTGGATATATATTATCTGTATATGAAATTATATACAAAACAATTAACCCTGAAATACATATTTGTATGTTGCATGATAGAATTTCTTAAATAATCATTAACGTGACTTTTAGTCCCTAAGCCCATGCTCACTTGGGCATACGCCGAGAACCGAAGCCCATGCTCACTTGGGCTTGGTTTAGATTAAGAAATTTTCATTGCCGAAAAAGGCATTCTCCAAGCAGCTATGATTTTCGCTTAGTAGATAACAACAAACCACTCTGAGTAAATTATAAATTAATCCCTTTAGTCTTGATAAAGAAATTAAATAATTCATTTAGTTTTAAAAAATAATTAATTAATGTATTGAAAATAATCGACTATGATTAATTTAGTAGTATTAGGATTCAAAAAAATATCTTCTTTTCTTATTAATGTTTTTATTTTATTTTTGAAAATAATAAATAAATAAATCGAAAACCAACACGAAATGGATGGAAATAATTAAATTATAAATGAATTTGAGAACATAAGAATTAAATTTTTAATTTATAAAACTATCAGGAGTACAAAAAACTTCAAATAATTTTTCAAATTTGAACTCAAATACTGAATAAGTAATAAAGTAGTAAATTTTCGGTAATTACTGCTCTTCATTATATGTTATTTTTTGATTGAATATTTAAAATACTTAAATTAATTTTTCAAATTTAAACTCAAATCTTGAATAGGGAATAAACTAGTAATTTTAAGTAATTATTGTACTACATGAAATACTTAAACTATATTATGATGATTCCCCACGTTGGATCACTCTTTAATTAAGCTATGTTTGATGCCTCCTGTGTTGTAGGGTGTGTTTATTATTATAGTAGCTGTTGTGATTTGAAAAAAACTATTTTATTAAAATTAATTTTAGTTGATGTTAGTTTGATATTTATATATGTTTGGTTTAAACTGTGGTTGAAATTAAGATTTAACAAATAATAGTTTAATGTGTTTAATTAAGAATATTTTTCAAATTGAGGTTATAAAATAATTTTTAAAAAATATATCAATATTGATGGTTTTTAATTTAAATATTATAGATTTAACTACTGCTATTATATCATGAAATGAATAATACTCAATATTTTTTTTTAATTATTCCATTAAAGTATCTACAATTTCATCACATTTGAAATACATCTGACAAGGACTATAATTTCATTGGTTTCATAAGCGCGCAACAACATTAGGTAAAATATCATCAAAAATAAAATTGGAATTGCGATCAAATTCTACAAATGTTACCTTATCAAGTGATTTTCTTCTAATTTATATAGTGTTATTGGATAATGTGAAGCACTAGTTTTTCAAATAAAACATAATTAAAAATAAAAAATATTTTTTTTACTGGGTTGGACCAGGTTCAATATATTTTTATAGCTTTGGACCGGGACCAATCTCTACTGTTTACGTGAAGAATGAAGACATTCTCAACTTTTCACTTAAATGAATTGTGGAGAGTTCACTCTCCATGCAGAAGAGAAGGAGAAGCAGAAGCAGATAAAAATTACTTCTCATAAACTAAGGTTCAACCTCAGTTTTTGGATGGGTTCCATGTTAAAAAAAGTATGGTTTGTATTAACCAAATACTTTAATTCAGTGTTTGCTTCTTGTTGCTTTGCCAAACGGACACTTAATTATTTATAATATTAAATTTGACTTATCTAAGATTTAAACAAAACAATATCATGTTGATCTAATTTTTGAACAATAAACTAATAACAATATAACTCATTTGGCATATATATATATATATATATATATATATATATATATGTATATATATATATAAAACATGGATGTTTGGGCCAGTTTGCGCGCATCTCGACTAATCCCATGAACCCTGAAGTTAATGACCATGTAAGAATTTAATAGCCCTGAGATTTATGAGACTCGAACTAATGACCTCTAGAGAGTAGATCTAAAACTTAACCAATTGAGCTACACCCCTCAGGGTTTTATTTGGCAATAATAATGTATGCGTTATAGATTTTTTATAAGAATTTAATCGATCTAATTATTTATTTATTTTTTTAATTTGAACTACTTAAATAAAGCTGATCAAATTAACATGGATAAACTATAATCATTAACAGGATGTGTGAGGTTTTAACTAAAATTAGTTCTAAAAATATAATTAAGATTTCTAATCTACAAACTAGCTAATCTAATCCTCTATATATGCTATAACGTTGCCTCTCATCTCTCCTTTGATCATTTCTGTTTCTTTCCTAATTTATTTATTTTTTCATGCACACTCTTCTCTTTCTTGTCGGTTGGCATTTTGAAACATAACGATCGGATTGATGGTACAGCTCTATCGTTTATTTCATTAAATTGGTGAACGAGACGTCCCTGAATCTCTTAACCTTTATCTTCGTGAATCCCAGATTTCCTAGCCTTAATAAAATGTTTTCCATTACCTGGTGATTTTAATGTCAAACTTGTATATTTAAAATGTAAAGATTTATTTATCATTAATATCTATTATTATCAAACTTTTATATTTTTAAGAAATATATATATAACTTTAATTTACATTTAGAGTTAAAGTTAATAATAGTATAATACTCATAATTATAAAACTTGAATTGGCTTGCTGGGTCGTCCCAAGACCTGGATAACACAGGGTATAAACTGGTCTAAGTTTTTTTTACAAAGAGAGAGAGAGATGAAGGATTGACCCAGCATAACTACGTTAAAAACTTAGATCAACCCACAACCTGATTAACTTAGGATAAAACCTGATAAAAAACTAAATGACCTTTTTTTGGAAAAAAATATTGGTCAAAACAACGTTATTTTGATCATTCTTTTTTAAAAAATAAAATTAGAGTTGACTCTCTTTATCAATGACTGGAGCCTTGTCCCGGGTTAGATTTTAAAACTATGATAATAACATTTTATATTCTTACATGTCTTACTTAGACAAGTTTGGAATTAAAAGATTTTTACAATGATATTTTAAAAATAAAATAAATAAATATTATATTTGGAGATATGTCTCATTTGCACCATTTACTCTAGAACTACCGAAATTTACTCCAAAATTGTTCCACGAACATATTTGTTTTTATCTCTTTGTCTCTCTTTCTTAAACCAAATATATTTTTGTCCCCACCGTCTTCATCTATTTTTTTCTAGGATAGTAACCAAACACTACTTAAGGTTTCAATGATTCAAATTGATATCAAGTTTGAAACCCATAGGAATTTAGATGGGACTGAGCCTGGGGCACTAGAGTTTTGAATATCTAAGAAATTATACTGAACCATGTCCAGAGAGCATGAGGATGAAATTTGGTGTTAGGCATCCTAAAATACACAAAAGAAATAGAAAAAATAACTTTAAAATATTTTTTGAAGTCCCTAAAAATTCGTTAGATAATTTAGTGTTGTTTATGGTTTGAGCAAAAATCACTTTAAGATCAGATATTCTTTCTATGATTTAGTCAACTCTTCAAAGTTGAATTAACATAAAGTATAAGCCGTTTAATTATTTGGTCTCTAACAATAATATTTTATACGAACCATCATATTAGAAATATCTTAAAATCATTTTAAAAGAGAGTGATTGTTATTCCCTTAATGGTAGATTTTTTTTTTTATGTTTTCAAGTGTTTTTGTAAAGTATATGTTGTAACATACTTCTCCACTTTTCTTTTTTTTAATATATATCTTATATAAGACATAACATTTTATCTATATAGAAACTTGATAACTGTATTAAGTGTAAATTATCAATTTTCTCTAAAATAATATATATATATATATATATATATTATTTCAAGATAGTTTTATAAATTTATTTAATCAAGTCTTTACTTGATTTTTCTAGGTCTAGAATTGTAATTCTTTGTAAATATTATATTGTAGTCCTTAATTTTTAAAATTTATTTACAATTTAGTCCCACTTCATTAAGTATTGTGGTTTAACTTTTTGCCAATAATTATTTATGTGTGTGACCCATTAGGGTCACTAATATGTTAATTACAATCCTAAATAAAGTAAGATTAAATATATAAATAATTTAATTTATTATCATTTTAATAATTGATTGATTTATATTTGAAGATTAAGTGCAGTGTTTAACAACATATCATGATCTTTTAAATATTTAAAAAATCATAAGTGATTTGATTTAACCTTTTAGTATTTAGTTTTTCATTATAATTATTATCCCTTCATCAAGAATGTTCTGATTTAGATATTAAAACATGGAGTATGTATACTCTGTTAAATTATATTTATTATAAATACCATAGTTATCGGTTCTTTGATTAATTTTTTTTTAAAATTTTATTTTACTTAACACAAAAATCTCATAATCAGTACTATTTGATAAACATATCAAAAATTTTCTCTAATTCACCGAGAATGATGAAACTTCTCTCAATTATTTAAATATCTTTATATAATTCATGTTACATCTGATATCTACCCATTTATAACTTTTTATCAAGGTAATATGTAGTCATAATTAAAGTATAGCATTTCATCTATAAGTTAACTTAGTTTTCTTAGCAAAAACAAATATAATATAGATTGTGTTAGTTTTTTGAACGCAAAAGTAAACACACTCTTAGCAACTGCCAAATCTCATCTCAGTATTGTAGGATGTTAGTTCTTCTTATCTTATGACACATTGCTTCATGTACTTGATGTTAGATAGAGACTATTACTGCCATTGATAGTGCTCCCAAGAAAAGAGAAGAGATATGCTTAATATTCCAACTTCCAAGCTAGGAAAACAGAAAGGATATGTATTAATGCTTTGACATTAACAAGAAAAAAAAAAAATTGAAGTTGCTAGCTACTACTACGCACACATACACATGAACATGGAAAGATTCCAACAAAAGTGCACCCATCATTTTGAGTCATTCAATGTTATGGGCAAAATCTTTGCGTGGGCTCACCATATCCTCTCAATGAGATTCTCGACTTTCTTTATTACTATGAAATTGACAACTTTGATGCTGCTTCCAAATTGTCTTTGCATCAAAACCCTAGCTAGCTGTAAGAAGAAGTTGATTATATATATACAAACTCACAAAAAAGAAAGAAAGAGAGAGAGTAGAAACGGATAATTTAAACAACAAAACTCAACGGTTTGAGAGAAAAAAGAAAGTGCTGAGCAGATGAACATTTAAGAATATAAAGCGCCTCCCTTTTATGGTTTCTGGTCGATTATATATAAACAATTGAAGTTTGGGTAATTATCCGTTGCTATATGATTATTATTTTATTTTATTTTTGCTCTTAAAGATGATAGGCCCAGGCCCAAGACTAGATTCTAAGAACCTTTTGTTCCAGGGTGTGCGCGCACATGGTCGGTGTCTATTTTATTATTATTATTATTATTTTTGGTGGATGGACATCATTGGTTTAGCAGAATGAAGGGACCTCTAGTGGTTCATGGTTTCTGAAATTAATGAAGTGATTGGCACTGCAGAGATGATTAGGAAACTGCCCTTCGTTTTCTGATGTTGAAAAGGCCAGATTAGGCTGCCACATGGTTACTGTTTTTTCCCGTCAAATTGTTGCTGTGTTTCTCGACATCGGATTCTGCTAAATGTCCTGGACGCCATATGACTAGAGAAAGGGGAAGGCAGAGATCTCTGATAGGATGCTTCCTTACACACCCTACAGATGATATTGATGCCAATATCCCCATGGATTCGAAGTCCGAGGGCCTGCGCATGGTGGTCTTGTTTCCCATCAACTAACAAGCTATTTGAGATTGAAAAAAATATAATAGCTATGTTTCAAGCGTGAAGGAAACTGAACAAACAAGTAATCACAAGGCAAATGAAACCTCAATCATGTGCTGAATAACAAATTGAAAGGGAAATTAACAGGCATTTGTAAATGAAAGCTGTATGTTTTTAAAAATAAATTTACGAAACTTAGAATTCGTTAATATGAATTACAGAAATTCATGATGAACTCAACAGGAAGGGACACAGCCTGTATTGTCTGCAAAATTTCACCATGCCTCTAATGGTACTGTCTCAAGGTAAAAAAACACTCCAGTTTTGAATCCTATCTTTGTAAACTTCATTATTCTGCTCATCTCTACAGGCTACAATCCAATTCCCTATGTATATTTGTATCTGCAAAATTCATGGGATCAGAATCGGTTTGTCACACTATACATGAGCTTCTCCTGGTTTGTGAAGCGCACCATTCCAACTATGACTCTCAGATTTGTCATCATCTTCTGCTTCCATGCTATCTCCTCCAGTGTTAGAGGTAGCCTTGGCAGAGCCACTTGCATGGAGGGATCCTTTCGGAGAATTAGACTGTGAAATGTTACCTGTTGAAGGGTCCTTGCATTGATCTTGAGAAGCTGGGGCTGCTGGAGATGCTGGGACTTTACGGAGATGAAGCCTGTATTTCTGGTCACACAAAATACCTCATGTTAGTTAGTACTCCATGAAAGAAAATAGCCAAGAAAATATGTTTGTTAATCACAAACTTACTTGCAAGTGGCTTTTAACTTCATCATTGGTGAGGCCATCCACTTGCATATGCTCTCTGATCTGTTTAGGAGTGGCCACTATATCACAGGAAAAACCAATTAGTTTGAGAGAAAGATAATCATAGTATAACAAGAAAATGATTTTCTAAGGAACAGAATCCAGTATACAGGCCTAAGAACAAGCAAGCCTCAGAATGCCATTTCATTTCTCATATTAGCAAATAGATCTTTTGTTTATTTCCCATATTTTCAGAGACTCTTTAAGGACCAGCTACACATCAGTCTAATTAACAAGACTAAAAGTTCCTAGCAAAAATCCATTTCTAGGACAGCAGTTTGGAATGTTTTTCTTTAATTACAAGTGTCAAAAAGAGAGAATTTAGTAAGCATCTAACCTTGACAACCACCAAGTTGTTGAAGGGCATCAACAAAGCGCCGGTGAAGCTCTGGTGACCAGCACCGCCGC